AACTACTCAATAACAAAAGCACTGTAATAAAACTATTTAAGATTTAATTACTATTTTAACTACAATTCTTTGTCAAGAGTGTAACTCCACCATCTTCAGTGATATAATTCTCCATATATATTAAGTATGCCCAAGATTTAAGTACTCATTATCCATATATCCATAATGAAATTGTGTAAAGAAAAAAAATAAAGGACATTTGTGTTAAATCAAATTAAAATAAACCCACCTGAACCTTGAAATAAGTAGAAAGTTTGCAGAGGGACTGGAAAGTAAATTCACAAATCCTCTAGAACAAAGATAAAAATGTTTGCTTTGTTATAGTCAACTAATGAAGGCAAACTTCAACAACTACCTAACACTTAAGGGCCTATATATAAGCATCTGAACTTATTGTTCCCACACCTGTTGCTATTCAATAAGTACCAACAAAGGGGAGACCACCTGTGAAATAGGACAAAACTTTGAATTAACAGCACCTTAAATTTTAAGGTGGAAAGGTAAGCAGCAAAATTACTCAATCTGATCTTGAAACAAACCTCTTCCTTCAAACAACTCCATTAACAGAGGATTTGGGAAATGACATTAATTTTACAAACCCATAAGTTACTGTAATAATCCATATTGAAATGTCATTTCGAGGACATGTTCACAAAGGAGGATCAGCAGTACTGGAAAGGTTAAAAGACAACATTATAATGCAAAGAGTTAACATCTATCATGGAAAATATGCAGTAAGGAAGGAAATAATAAATTTTTTCTGTGTTTTAAACAACAGATTAATTAGAAAAGTATTTAGTAGAACCACTTGTACGTGCAAACTCTGAAGCTGGTAAAAGTCCACACTAGTAAGTTAAACCTGTAATAAAAGGTGGACTGTGCTCTCTATCACATTCATATTATTAAACCCTTTCAGTTTCCAAACTAGGGCAGCTGTATCCAAACTGCCCAACAGAGCATGGCAGCTAAATCCTCCCTTGTGCTGCCAGATTGTCTGGGTGAGCATCTGCTGTCCTGGGCAAAACCGCTCTGCGCTGCGCTCCAGCAAGTTAACAATACAGGGGACTACATTCCCATGACCAGGAACATTTTTTGGCTCAGTTTAGTTGCATGTGTTTCACACTGCAACTCTTCCAATGTACCAAGGCCTATTTTCAGAATCACAACTGTGATCCTGTGTTCATAAAGTTTTCCATAAACATACGACTGTCAAGCTAAAGAAATGGCCATGTGCTTGGCACCAAAAGTTGAGCTGAAGACCTGGTTCTGTAGACCGGAGGCAATTAGATGTGGTGATACAGATGGCAGATCAGAGAGGACACTGCTGTGTGAGATTGCACTTCCCAAGTGCTTTAGAGCAAATTTCACCACCAGCCTCTCCTCTAGCACTCTCTCCAAACCTCCTTGCTGCTCCCTCCTCGTCTCTCTCCCCAACGCTCTCCCAGCCCCAGCAACCAGAAAATAAAAACAAACTAGAAAGCACAGTGTAACTCACTGATGGCTAAAACTAAGCTCTTTGATTAACTGAAGAGAATCTCTCAACTCCGTATTTTTAATAACAGTCTACAAAAAATCTTTATTTTAAATCAATAATTCTTGGACTACCTTTTTCAGCTCATACTTTCAATCAGAAAATGACATTAACTGAGCCAGAAGCCCCAGCATCAAGCACACTCAAATTTCTTGCCCTCTCTGATCAGTGGAATCATCTGCCAGTTCATGGTCTAATGTTTAATACTAACATTAACTGGAGGGAAAAAGGGGGCTTAAGAGTAAGTGAGAGTGGCCTCTCTTAAAAAAAATTATGTAAAACCCAGCACAAAGTCTGATCAACAGTTTTAGTACAAAGGCTACGCTTACATTTGCCAAAGAACCAGCGATGGCAGAAGACTTTAAACCTTGTTTAAAGGTTAACAACAGCAGTTTCAGCAATTCTACAAAATGCAGATTCAGGAGTTGTCAGGAGTTCAACTTTCCACCGTTCCTTTGCAAAGTTCACATTTTAAACATCCCATTGAAGGTCATAGAAACACATTTCAAACCAAAGCAATAGCCAAAAGAGTAGCAATGACTATTTTGTTCATTTCAGACAGTGACAAACCACTCAATTTTGAACAACCCAGACATTCGATCATTTATTTTAAAACTTGTTGCATGACTGAATAACCCAGGTGGGTGCACATGATGTGGGAAATTCTGGGCAAGTTAAAGTCATGCAGCAGTGCCCGAATGATGAAAAGCAGCTTTGCCATCTTCCTTGGAACCACCTCTATTTTCTTATGCTACTGACACCTTGTATTTTAACTCAAGTCTTAAAAAAAAGAATCCACTCCGCAGTTAAGAAACTTTGTCAGGTATGTGATTTTTCGAGTATCTAAGCTAAAATTGGGAATAGAGTGATAGAAATTTATTAATGGCGTAACTGTGAACCCAATTCTCTATATCTGATCTGAATACACATTTTTAAAGCTATATTCACTATTTTGAATCAAGAAGTATCCCTAATGGCAAAATAATCATTCTTCAAGAGATAGGGACATCTTAGGTTGGCAGGAGTGCCATATTGTCAGAGAGAACATTTAGGAGAGAGACTTGCCTGAGAGCTACCCCAGAAGCGGCCTTTCCTCAACAGATTCTCTTGAGTGAAAATCCTGCCGCAAATGCCCTTGGTCTGGTACCAGAGAGGGTTCTGCTCCACTCTCTATACAGAATTTTTTCTGGTTTTTTTTTTGTTTTTATGGGGGCTGGAGTCCACATTAATAGCCTCCTGCACCTTCCCCTACAGAAGTGGACTCTATTAATGAGAGTGGCCTTTCACCTCTCTTACATGCAATTTCAGAAAGTCAGCAAAAACTGAACTGGGGGAGGGAGAAGTCGAAAGAGAAGTCTGCGTCCAAAAGCAGTGCAGCCATAATTGTCATAACAAACATTGCAACATTTCACTTCTTGCTGCCCAACTCCCAAACTGCAACCTGCAATCCTCTGTCAGAAAGCATGGGACATGCTGGGTGCTCGAGCTTAAGAGAGAATTCAAACCAGCCTGCACACGGGAGGGCGAGTGAATAAAAGAGCCAACACAAATGCTGAAAGAAAGGTGTGACTGCCATAGTGTCCTTTACCAGGACTTAGACCCTGAACTCCAGGGGATGTAAAGGCACTCAGGTCAGATCATGGTTCACAAAATCTCCTAGAGGCAACTAAGAGTTCCTTTTTTGAAAAATGAGAGTCAGGCTTTTCCCTGAAAATCCAGTAAAAATAAAAGATAACAGCAGGACCTCGTTCTTACCAGAATCCTAAAGAATAGAAAAAGTTCAAAAGTTAGAGCCAAGTGCTGCTGAAAACATTTCATGTGCAGATTCACTGAGAGAGAGAGAAAAAAAAAAAGGTTTGATACACTTAGATCCCTAGATTTCCATTCTTCAAAGCAGTCCCCTGGTGTCCAGCTGTCAATGTCCTGCTCTGGGAAATGAGAGATGTGGATTAGAAAATCTTTAGGTTGAGGGAAGTATCTCCTGCTATAAAATGGGTAGAGGAACAGCTTCTTTTCTTCCTCTGACATGTTTATAAACCAAAGTGCCCGTGGCCACTTGTTTGTTTTTGCACAGGTAAGTTCTTTTGAAGCATTTCCCATGTCACTTTCATAGAGAAATATTTAGGGATCCCATTAGGCCTCTTCATTTCTCAAATAACACATTACCCCTTTTGGGGGCTCCTGTGCCTGAACAAACTCAGATTTTCCTTTTCCAGGAGCAAAGCCCACCACAACAGCTGCTGTGTTGGCTGAGGAAAACAGACAGGAAATAAAGTACCTTCTGGTTAGTAAAAGGTGACCTATGCTACTTTAAAACTAATACACATTGGCAAAACATCAACAGAAATGCAAACCAAGCTGCTACCCATCTTTAATTGCCCTGGCAAAGAAAAGAACACAATGCATTCTCCAGGGATGTCAATCATGGCAGTCTAATTAATTCAAATGAGAACCACTAATAGATTTCTAGGGGAAGAAAGCATTTTTGTGTGATGGCAAAAGAGCACATATCAGACTTATAGGGGTTGTTAAGCAATGGGATTCCTCTATTTGCACTACCTTTGCTACACAGTTTGAAAGAGGGAGCAGAGCTGATGACTGGGAGGAGTATGATGCAACGTGCTTACACCAAATGTTAACAAAGCCACTTGCCAAATTTTCCTTCCCCAAAGCAGCTTCTAGCAGTAACTATCTATTATCTATCTATCTATTATTTCACAAGGAAAAAAAATAAAAAAAATCTTTGTCTGCTCTATGATTTTTCCTACTGCAATCATAAAACCAAGTTGAAGTCTGGAAAAGGCAAATCATAGCAACACTACAAGATACTTTTTTTTTTGCTTATAAATGTACGTCCGGCTTGTAGCCTAGCAACAAAAGCAGCAGTCTGTGTTAAATGGATAGAGCCTGCTGCTGGGGCTCTCTCCTCAAAACAGCAGCCATCTTTGGCGTGTAACTTGACGAGAGATTTCATCATTCTGCATTTAAGCTCCCTCCAGGTGTCAGAGGTTGCTGCAGCCAGCTCAGCAGTGTCAGCTTTTGATTTCCCACCTCTTCTGTTTGCAGGAGGTGTATTGCAGAGACACGTCACACGTTCACCTTGCTTCTTCATTAAGAAAAGTAATGCTTCTTTGCTAAAAAGGGTTAGTGCAAGCTCCTATTTTATCTCAGTCCTGACTGCTGCAAACTTGTCTCTACTACTTATTTTTTACCCCTACATGAACCGAAGTAGGATTTTCTGGCTCTATCCAAGCATATTAATGGTGCTCTTCTGTGGTTTTTCACTATTTCATGTATCTTTTTCTGACAGGTCATTTTTTAATTACAAATTGGTACAATGCCAGTCTTCACTTCCCCCACCTCCCAATACCCATTATAATGATAATAAATTATCTATAATTCAATAAATGAAAAAATATAATCAATACTCATAATTAAAATCCCCGCCTTTGGCTACCAGGTGTCTGACCTCCAAGTTATTTGGCGTGTTCCTCTCCTGGAAAAGGCGATGCCCCAGCAGGGAGGCTTGTTTCTCACAGGCCTGGGATCTGCACCGCTGCCACACACCACCCTGCAACAGACAGCCCATGCTCAGGGGACAAGTGGTGGCCAGGCGGACATTTTGGGAGTGGGTGGGGAAGCAGGGAGCTGCGATGGCTGATTTCGGGAAGCAGGAGGGGAGGGTGGTGGCAGCCCCCTGCCAGCTGTATGGCATTGCCAGTGCCAGGCAGCACCTCCCCGGGAGAGGTGGGGGGGACATGTTGGGACATCAGCTCTGCTCCCACTGAGGGGATGGGGTGACACGGGGCTGGGCCCCTGTGGAGAAGATGGGGTGACACATGAGTCTGGGGGCTTATGGAGGGAATAGGGGGGATACACAGGGCTGGACCCCTGTGGAGGGGACAAGGGTGACACACGAGGCTGGACCCCTGTGGAGGAGATGGGGTGACACATGGGGCTGGGCCCCTGTGGAGGGGATGGGGTGACACACGGGGCTGGGCCCCTGTGGAGGGGATGGGGTGACACACGGGGCTGGGCCTCTGCAGGGGTAACAGAGGTGACAGACCGGTCTGGGCCCCTGTGGAGGGTTTGGGGTGACAGGCGGGGCTGGGCCCCTGGGGAAGGGACCGGGGTGGCAGATGGTGCTGGGCCCCTGTGGAGCCCCGCTACTCACCGCGGCCGCCGCGCTGCCGGCTCCGCGCCGCCCCTGGCCCCGCCGCCCGGAAGAGGCTCGTTGGGCGCCGCGGGCGAGGGGCCGGGGAAGGCGGTCGGGCCGCCCCGCTCCGCTTCGCTCCGCCCCGACGGGGCCGGGCAGGGCCGGGCCGGGAGCGGCGGTGCCGCTGGAGCCGGGTCGGGACCGCCTATGCCGCTGGGCCGCCCCTTTGTGGGGTTGGGGAGGGCCGGCTCATGGGCCAGCGGAGGGAGGGTGGCGACAGGAGCCACGGAGCCGGTGGCCAAAGGCAGCCGGGGCAGGCAGGGCGGGTTTCTGTCCCCTCTCCCGCTTTCACGCGTGTGGCGGAAAAAACCAACTGGCCAAAAACAAATGTCAAAGAAAAGACGGATCCTTGATTTCGTTGGAAGGCTGAGGAGCTCGGAGCGTTTCTTCCCCTTTTGTAGTTGCAGTCAATCCACATTTCATAGCATCCAATAGCTTCTCAGTTTGAGATTAGATGTGCGATCATTTGAGAGTCAATAAAACGGTCAGGATACTCAGTTACACTCATATAGAAGGGTAGAATCATAGAATCATAGAACCATCCAGGTTGGCAGGTTCAAGATCATCTAGTCCAACCATCAAGCTAACTCTGACAAAAAAACCCAACATCACTAAACCATGTCCCCCAGCACCATGTCAACCCGTCTTTTGAACACCTCCAGGGATCGTGACTCAACCACTTCCCTGCGCAGCCCATTCCAACACTTGATAACCCTTTCAGTGTAAACACTTTTCCTAATATCCAACCTGAATATCCAACCCAAACCTCCCCTGGTGCAACTTGAGGCTGTTTCCTCTGGTCCCGTTGCCTGTGACTTGGGAGAAGAGACCGACCCCCACCTCCCTACACCCTCCTTTCGGGGAGTTGTAGAGAGCGATAAGGTCTCTACTGAGCCTCCTTTTCTCCAGGCTGAATGCCCCCAGCTCCCTCAGCCTCTCCTCATAAGACTTGTGCTCCAGACCCCTCACCAGCTTTGTTGCCCTTCTCTGGACCCGCTGCAGCACCTTAATGTCTTTTTTTATGGTAAGGGGCCCAAAACTGGACACAGTACTCAAGGTGGGGCCTCACCAATGCTGAGTACAGGGAGAACTAGTAGTTCTAGTATGGGGTTAGCAGGGATACTCAATTCCTTCTTTCCCCAGTCCAGCTGCCTGATGAACATGGTGACAGACACACAGACTAGATTCCTACTGCTCGTTTCAAGAATTGGCACATTAATGTTTAGTTCTGATAGTGCCATAAGTCAGCAACACACGAGCTGGTCTTACCCTGTAACTGATGCTGAGTCTTGTGGGAACACGGACAAACATGTTCAGACACAGCTGTGCTGCATCCCATGTACATCCTGCAACCAGGGCTAGCTTACCCGTCTGTAATCCAGCTCAGCTCCTCCGAGGTCTTGTATTAAAATTCCCTGGGTAACAATGCTGCTCTGTCCACAGGTCTCATTCCCGAAGGGGTGGAGGCTGGGCATGGAGAACAATCCTACTCTGACACACTCTGAGTACAGGGCTGGAAAGATTGGACCTCCCTGTCACTGCTCGTTGCAGGATGCTAAATGGGAATTTTACATTAAAAAGCCAGAACGCTCCCCAGGTATTAAATCCTTGTGGAGATATACTTACTGGTGAAATCTTTGCTGTTAAAACTCAACTTCTGTGAAAAATTTGATTTTTTTTTGAAATAAAAACATAACTGTGTAGGTTGGAGTCTGTTTTCAGCTTTTAACTAGCCTACTGAGTTTATGATTTTCAATGAAAAGTTAAGATTCAACTTTCATTCTTACACAGACACATTCCATCTCAGATGTCCATTTGTATGTTTCCCCTGTGGCTCCATAGCTTTGGTCGCACAGATATATGTCACAGATATATACATGACAGTTGGGGGTGCAAATATATCAGGTGGGATTCTATCACGAAAGAGTAAAAACTGGCACTGATACCCTTGTACTGCACTTTTCTTGCACAACAAAATTGGTTCACAATTTATCTACTTTACTGCTAGCGTCTTTAGTTCTTTTTAATCTTGTCGGGCAGATCCCAGTCTCCATGACCACTGACAGATCCAGCACTGAATACATCTTTAATGGTATCCGGCCCTCAAACGTGTTGCTAAATACATTGCAATGAGTGAGTAGGGAAGAGACCTCATTCAGAATTCGGAGACAGCTGGATGTCATGCATAGAAATAAATTCATTGTTGGTGGGTACTGTGGTATATGGTTTACATTTCGAGGACTGATGTCTTCTGCCTTTAATAATTTTCTTATATGCCAAAGATACTAGCTTGTTAATCTGCTTTAAAATGACATGTCGTATTTGCTGCACATCACAGTAGAAACTTGACTTGCAGACTCTTTAATGTAAATAGATTAATACCTAAATTCTTTCTCTGAGTTGCTACGTGGAAAGCTACATTAATTCCTCAAGTTAATCATTCGCTCTACAGCGCAGATGGTTTTGAACAGCTACGTAACTTCTCTTTCACTAGAGCGGTCATTTCTCCCATTGCTGGGAAACAAATCTGATTTTTTGCCATGAATCCTGAAAAGTCTTGAGATGGCTCTGACCAACCAACAGCAATTGCTCATGAGCCACAAAACTGGAAGGCAAATGGGTGAATATGCTATTCACAAGGAATATCTAATCTCTGGCTACATGTGTTTCTTCATCTGCACTAACTTTCACAATAAAATGTTTTCATCTGCATCAAAAAATGCAGAATCCAGGAAGATCTGCCAGCTCCCAGATCCAGACAGACCCCAGAATGTGGTTTGAGCATATTGATCTGCAGCTGGATATTGTGGATTTGTTCTTGAAAGGTCCTGGTCCCCCCCTCAGACAGTCCCTTGCCAAAATGTAACTTAACTTGGTCAGTGTCTCAAGCTCAAGCATGTATTTTCTTACAGTTTCATGCAGAGTGTCACATCTTGCTGATTAAATTACAGTGCAAATGCTAACGGTACATACAGAAAGCATGTTCCTAGAGACTATGACTGGATTAATCAAACAATCCCTACCTTAGCTCCTGTTGAAGCATTCCTTTCAGTCGCCTTATTTCCCAAGGAATACATGAAGAGGACTCCTGCAAACCTCCAGATGTACATTCAGTCCTCTGCATATGTTGAACTAGGGATGAAGTTAACCACCTGCACGTTTTCACCTGAAAGCAAAGTCTTCTCTGCGCTCACCAGAAAAGGAGGATTTCTGTTCCTTTACAATTAGTGCCTCATCTAAGAAATGAGCTTTACTGTATTTGCTTTCCTCAAGCTTTCCTGTATTCATAATATTTACATTGGACATGAATGCTTTTTACGTTGTTTTACCATTTCAAATTGGCACTGGGAATCAACTGAGGGAAACGAAGAGCTGCTGCAGGTTGCATTTATTAACATAAATGTCCAGTAAGTGGCACTGCAGGACCAAGTTTTCTGCAACCCTGGATCAAAAGCAGTGCAGTCAAAGAGAGTAAAGGCAAGCACAGCATGTGTCAAGACTTTTCTGCTCTGTGAAAAAAAAAAAAGTAGTTGTAGAGCAGGTAGGAAATGATGTGTGGTGACGGCCCTGAAGGTGCAGTGCAAGGAACTGGGGTGCATTCAGCTGCTGGCTCTGGAAGATGGTGTTAGGAACTGGCCTTGGCACCAAGCTGGCTGTTATCAGGGGTTTGCCAGAAGAAACCAGCAACGTTTCTGGGAACTACTCATTAGCACTCACTTGACGGGAGGTGCCTGGGAAGGCTTCGTGCTGGGTTTCGCTATGGGGAGCAGAATACCGGACGAGGTGGACCATGTATATACAGCATTTCCTATGGTCTACTGACTTACTCTGCATTAATTTCATGTAGAAAATCCAAACCCCAGACTGGAAGGGATATCAGTGCAGTCTCGTAAGTTCAAAGATTATTTCTGTCAATGAGCTAGGGACTTCTGCGAATTCGTGTCAGTAAATCAAACCCCACCACTCTGTTTTCCCAGTCTCTGCTGATAATGAATAAACTATTATCTAAGGAAATTTTGTCAAATGGACAAGTAACACTACAGCTTTTGGCAATATAAATTGTAATGAAACCCTTATATAAACTGATGAATATTACTTAAATCAATTAAAGCTTTTGGCTCCATCTGCAATATTTGAACCCAATTTTGGGTTACTCACGCTATACTGTGCCAAGCTAAATTGATGTATACCCAATTTTCCTATTTATCTAGATGAAAACATGCATAGTTATATCAGATAAGACTGGAAGGGAATGAACATGAAAAGCCAATCTGCATTTAGAAAGGACATAAAGCTGCATTTAAAGGATAAACCAGCCTTTCAAGGGGATTAGGAAGCCATTTCCTCTATGATGTGGCTATTTTATAAATGTCTCTTGTGGGATTGTTCGTGCTGTGAAGCATCTGTGCCAATTGCTGTCGGCAACAAGACACTTGACGAGACAGGCTGATCTGGGATGGCAATCCACAGCTATGGATGTAGTGTGGGGCAAGAGGAAGGGGTGTGGAGCATCATCCCATAGGCCCCAGGGAACAGCCACAGGATCTCAGAGCTGCTTCATTCAGGCCTGGCAAAGTTTTTTCATCATCCTCTAGGGACCAGATATCACCTCTTGAATCTTTCCCTTTGAGTCGTGCAACAGCATGAACAGCATGGAACAACGCTTGACACCATGCCACAGCATGATAGATACACCTGGAAAGCTGATAGAAATGCCCAGGGAACAATGAGAGATTCATAGCCACAGGAAAATTCCTAGAATGGTATGGAAAAATGTCTAGAAAGCCATGGAAAATTCTTAGAAAACTACAGGGAACTCCTGGAAAATGATGGGCAATTCTTAGAAAGCAGAATCAGATTCCTAGAAAGCTGTAGGGAGAGTCTAGAAAAGCAGAATGTGAATTCCGAGAAACCTGGAAACAGATTCCTAGAAAGCTGGAAGGAATTTCTTATGATGTAAGAAGGAATTGCTATAAAGCAATGGAGGAATCCTAGAAAGAAATGCACAGCGTCTAGAAAGCTGTGGAAAATTCCTGAAGAGCAGAAGGGAACTGCTGGAAAGCAGAAGGGAATTCCTATAAATAGGGCACAATTACTAGAAGGATCAG